ATCGATCTCAAGTCTGGCTACCACCAGATTGAAGTCGACCCTGCAGACCAGCACACAACTGCATTCAAAACTCGTGACGGGTTGTACGAGTTTACGGTCATGCCTTTCAGCCTCACGAATGCACCGGCCACCTTTCAAAGTCTCATGGACAAGGTGTTCCGCAATCAGATCAACTGATTTGTTGTTGTGTATTTGGATGACATAATAATTTTCAGCAAGTCGATGGAGGAACATGTGAGACACCTTGAGGAAGTGTTAAAGATCCTCAAGGATGCTCAACTCCATCTCAACTTGGAGAAATCTGAGTTTTCGAGGGACAGCGTCATGTACCTTGGACATCGATTGTCTGTTGCAGGCCTAGAGCCCGAGGCAACCAAAGTTGAGGTCATCGGTTGTCTGTTGTAGGCCTAGAGTCCGAGGCAACCAAGCGACGTAAGTTTGTACCCAAATTCTCTATCATCGCCCGTCCGCTATCCAAGTTGACAAGTAAAAATGTGTCTTACACACGAGATGGGGAATGCACAACAACCTTCCAAGCATTAAGAAGGCTTTGGTGAGTCATCCGGTGCTCCGCATTGTAGATCCTAAACTTACATTCGTAGTAACTACGAATGCAAGCTTGTATGGGATTGGTGCAGTGCTGGAGCAAGATGACGGTAGCTGCCTCCACTTACATGCGAGAACTCTAAGCCTTGAGAGAGGCACTAGATCATTGGAAACACTGCCTCTTGGGTCGTCATTTCAAAGTGTTATCAGATCACGAGTCTTTGAAATGGATCCAGACACAGATTAATCCATCAACCACATTGACCCGCTGGTTGCATGAGATTGATGTGTATGATTTTGAACTTAAGCATAAGAAAGGTTGTGTTACGATCCTGGTCATTCTTAAAGTGCAAATTCACAATGAAAGACAATGCCACCCAATTGCGAAAGAAATAAAAGCACTTGCAAAGAGATAGAGACCAGAGGAGAGAGAAAGAAGAAGAAGAAGAAGAAGAAGAAGAAGAAGAAGAAGAAGATATACACCAGCAAGACCAATGACAATGCCCCCTTCTCTCTCCACCTTCCGCCTCCTCCTTCACCTTGCCAATCTTATTCTTCTCCCAATAATAATAATAACAATGAGTGGATGAACCAGAATCAATATCCAAAGTTCCCTTTTACTGTCGACTCAACAACAACAACAACAACAACAACAACAACAACAAGTCCACCATAGTTATGGCTTCCCTCCTTCTGCCTCTTCTTACTTGCATAGGCTATGGCGGACTACTGAGGGCCCTGCCCTCCTGTCCAAAGGACAACCCAAAGCAGCTATGGCGTTGCACTCCTGTCCAAAGGACAACCCAAAGCAGCTATGCTGCTGCTACTGACTGCTCCGCCATGCCAAGCTCTGCCTCGAGCTTCCTTGGTGCAGCACTACCCCAACTGGGGCCTTCCAGATGCAACGCCCAACAAGGTGATGAAGATGGTGTCTACCATAGCCAGGTATGTGCCTTGCCACTCTCCTCCTTCGACCCCTTCTTCCTCCTCCTCAAGCTGGGTGCTCGCCATAGCCAGGCTGAGCGCCAGCTGCCCTTCACCTCCAGGCAGTGCTGTGCTCCAGCAACATGTCACCAATCCTTGCATACCGCAAATGAGGAGCTACTTGCTCCTCCGGAAGATATAGCGGCCAACTGGCCTCCTGGGCGGTGACTTCCTAGGCCGAGCGGCCTCCCAGCAACCGGTGCCTCCTCCCTTTCGGAGGGAAACATCATTGTAGGCTCTGCTATCCTCCCGACAGGCCCTAGACCCAGGCTACTTGGACTGGTACCGGCCTACCTCTAGCCTACCGCTACTGGGCCTCTAAAAATGCCAACTTTTTGTCTTCTTCTGCTTGGCCTCCAGTACCCGACGCTTCTACCACT